CCAGATATAATTTCTGTACCAGTACTCACTCACAAATTCGTAATGGAAACTGCCGCGACCATGTTTACATTTGCAGAACAGAAGATTATTAACTGAATCTGTGTTAAAGCATAAACAATCAGGCAGCTGATTTAAAGGATTTTCATAATCTATTTTCGCTTGAAGTCCAAAAGTGTTTCAGGATAAAGCTGAGAACATACGGACCTATACCTAATAAACTAACTGATTGCTACAAAAAGGTAAGCTACTAGCTATTTGGCTCAATGGTGTGCTCTTCACCATGTCAAAGAAAAAAGCACAGTTGACTAATTATCCCCCAAAACTAAATGAAATAAAGCAAAGAACAAGAAAAACAATAAGTGTAATATCCGACAAGAAGTTGCACATAAGGTTTCCAGCAACAGGATTCAGAAAAATCTTACTGTCAATTCTCAATCGCTCTAATATGAATTGCTCTTTCTGTCGCAAAGACCGATCAGCCTAAGTGTAGCCATTGGAACAACATAAACAAAAAAGAACATTATAGAGAGAACAAAGTTCAAAGTGCCCAAAAACTTGCTTGTAAAAAAGTAAAAAGTTTGATAAAATCTTTGAGAAATCTAAGTTAACAGACCTTGAGCTTGTATGACTTCCTCTCAACAAGAAACACCTTTTTGATTCCATAGCAATCCGCCAGCATTTGTGTCAAGTATCCTCTTCCAGCTCCAAACTCCACCACACAAGGAACATCATACGGCCCCTCAGATTCACATCGCTTCCAGTTAACAGATTCCTTTAACACCCCAAACGCTTCCAAGTTCCCAAGAATGGAGGCTTGTTGTACCACGTGTTTCTCTTGAAATGGCAACTTCCTGCCCACAAGTTGATATCTATTTCAAAAAAATAGACATACCCACATAAAAGAAACTAAAAATCAACTTGGATACCTGTCTACGTCTCTCTTAATCCATATATCACAAGCTTCTGGAATCTTGCACGACTCCCTGATATCCTTGCAGATTGTACTATGAACTGATTGAATCTTTCTAATCAACTCATAAAATTGAGGAAGAGTCAAATTGTACACAGCATTCCTCTTCATTTCAGAGGTAACACTATCCAAAGAACACGAATTAGCCTCATTCGAGGACAAAACATCTTTAACTCTTGTGGGTTTAATAGTTTCGTCCTCATGCACCTCTTCCTTCCCAGCATTGATTCCCTTTTGATAATAGGGTTGGAGAAATAAGGATTGGGTTTGTTTCAGTAATGGGCATTTGCTAAGATGGCCCTCGAGATTTGCTTGCAGCACAGAGCTGTCAAATTAAAAAAGAAGTTAATCATTGCATGGAACTCTACAGAGATATAATGGCAAAAACATATGGAGAAGAGATTACTGAGAAGGGTCTATAGGGCATGGGATCCACACGTCATCTGACCTCTGGCTATGGTTGCCACAAAACCTTGAAATTAAGAAAAAAAAAGTTCCATTAAAATGTAAGTATCTGATTTGAGGGATTACAAAAATGGGATGATTGAAGCTTACGAAGAGTTGCTGAGTGGGGCGTTTGCACAAAATCTGTTCTTCTTTGGAAGCCAGAATTTGCAGCGATTCTCCATTCTTCACTTTCCCGCAATACTGAGTTAACTCGTGTAACCTGTACTGGGTTCTGCCCTCTTGAGTTTTTCTTCTTCTTCTTCTTCCTTTTCATGTAAAGTGAGACGGTGTGGGCTTTCCCTTTCAGGGCTCCGCCCATATAATTAGTGGTTGAATAAAATAGTTTTAAATTTTAAATATTTTATTACGTCATAAAAAGATATGGGCCAAAGGTTAAAGCCCAAAGAATAAGCAAAGCCCATAGCAGGCATCTACAAAAAGCCCTAGCAGAAACTTTTTAAGTGATCTCTCATAAATAAAACCCTTGTATTATCCAGAGCATCTTCAAATTCATCACTACTCAAACCCTAGCCGCTCTTCTCTGTTTCTCTGCATCTCCTAAAGATGCAGATCTTCGTCAAGACCTTGACGGGTAAGACCATAACCCTAGAGGTAGAGTCCTCTGATACCATCGACAATGTGAAGGCCAAGATCCAGGACAAGGAGGGCATTCCCCCGGACCAGCAGCGTCTCATCTTCGCCGGTAAGCAGCTTGAGGATGGTCGTACCCTCGCCGATTATAATATCCAGAAGGAGTCAACACTGCATCTCGTTCTTCGGTTGAGAGGTGGCGCCAAGAAGCGTAAGAAGAAGACCTACACCAAGCCAAAGAAGATCAAGCACAAGAAGAAGAAGGTTAAGCTCGCGGTGCTCCAGTTCTACAGGGTTGAAGATGGTGGCAAGGTGCAGAGGCTGAGGAAGGAGTGTCCCAACGCCGAGTGTGGCGCCGGAACCTTCATGGCAAATCACTTTGACAGGCACTATTGTGGTAAGTGTGGCCTTACCTATGTGTACCAGAAGGCCGGCGGTGATTGATCCGAGAACCATGAAACTTTTTTCGTCTTCTAAAGAGTTATGTTTATCTTAATAGCTTTTTGGGGTTAGATTTTAAATTACGAAGTACTTCTGGAATTTATACCTTCTCTGTTATGGTTTATTTTGTTACTTTGGATGTTCATTGTGGATTTTAAGTGATTAAATTTATTAGCTTTTTAAACTATATTATTGAATTTGTGTGGTCTTTTCTTGAAATAATTTCATGATGGTGTGATCAGATAGCTTTCGTAACCTCATCCTCTGTTTGCAGAGGTGGTAACTTTTAGTAAACAGTATGCAAGAAGCATGTATCTAGAGAATATAATACAATGTCATGTTTGTATGTATAGGTTGAATTTTGTCAAGTAATGCTGCAATTATTTATTTACTTTTTTGGGATTGTTCCTGTATACGGAATAATTTTTGATGGGCGATCTTCTTTAGAAAACAAGATGATGAATTTGTATGAAATTGAGAAAATGGTTTGGCCTAGCGAGACAATAAATGAATATCAATGAGGTTTTCTAATGAAATTAGGAGTTTGAACTTGGAATCTGTAATTGAAATTTGTCACTCCATATTGCATTTTTGCAGTATATGTTATATAAGTCGGTGACAGTTTGATCCTCGGAAAAGAGTCTGATTTGCCAATGGGTTCCAGGTCTAGTGTTTGAGATGTGAAGTTGGATATTTGGTAGAGCTCTTCAGGTTATAACTTGTTACATATCTATGCCCCTATCCGGTGTTTTCAAATGCTTTCTACAACATCATTTGGAAAATATTGCAGAACAAACCCTAATTTCGGAATTTGTATGGTAGTTCATCCAAAACTATCTGCAATGTTGGATTTTCCCCACGAATTTTTAGTCTGGTTTCTTTCTTACTGCATCAACTCACTGCAGCATATAGCTTGTTTCTTGTAACTTCCAAATTTTGGCTCTTTCAATTTGAACTTGAAGATAGATGGCAAATATTTTGGAACCTTATATATATGACAGTTTGGGTTCAGCTTAAATGAATTTTGGTTATTAATGGGATTTGATTAGATTTGTCAATAAAAAAATTGAATCTATATATATTGAAAAATAATTTGCTAGAATATGTTTAGGTTTGCCAATTAAGTAATAATAGATCACTTGTTTGACGGATATGCTTATTGCACACTTGGTTCTTTTAATGGTTCTAGTTCCATTAAACTTGTCAAGATTGGATTTAAATATATTGGAATTGTACAATGTGTTTGGATTTGAATTTGTTAGGGCTGTCAATCAAGTATTTACTAAGAACAAAATTTCGTAACCTTAACTCATTTGACTCATTTTAGGTCAACTTCTAAGGTTAGAAAAGCTGGCTGAGATTACAGATAGAATGAACCTTGATAGAGTAAAAAAGACAAGAGCCTTAATATAGAGTTAGTTTGTGAAAGGAGTGATATTTATCCTAGAAAAAATGGATTCAGTGAATCTACTTTTTATATTTGAATCCTCTGTTATCTTTAGTTCAACTTTTGTCGGATAATATTCTAATTTCTACTTTAAGTAAAACAATTAAAGAGAACTTAACCAGATGATCAAATATGTTAACCCTTGTATAGGAATAAAATCGAATGAATCTGTAAAGTAAGAGTTGAAATGCTGTTGATAATGATAGGCGTCTCCTCTTTTATGTGCATACACAACCATAGATATGAAAACCAGTCCCAAATTCATTGTAACAAGAGGAACTAATTGGATCTCAGGAAACGATGAGGAAACAATCTGGGCAGGATGGAATTCTTTGCTCTAACAATCAATGCATATATACCATAACAAGGAATATGAACAACAGCCATTGAAAAATACCTGCACCATTTTAACATCTTCGTTAGTTTTAGTCAGTCCTGCTTTATAAATTAAAAGAAAAGGCAAAAGAAATAACATACCATAAAGGAGCCCAAGGTGTTTGAAGCTCAAGAAAGGGATATGGCCACCTGCCAAGACTCCATAATTATATCAGTAACTGTATTGAACCCTAAACAGTTATCTGAAATTGTTTAAAAAATGGAAAAAATTCATGATTAATTACCAGGTAAACCCACAAGCATGAATGATCCATTGAAAAACAACATAGAGACAGCTCCATTGTACGAAGTAGGCAATCCGAAACCAAGGAAATGGCTGAAAATAACCCACAGAGAAAATGAAATCACTTCAAGAACAAATTCAATCTAGAGAGATTCGATTTTAAATTTCTGATGAATCACAGCACTCACAAGATTATTAAGAGCCGTATCCAGCAGAAGAAATACAGCATTCAAGGTGTGCATGCAGCCCATCAACTGCAATTTGAAATAACACAATCTATTTAATTTTGTGTGTATATATCAAGGTCAATGAATTAGAAAGAAATATTGATAATTTAAAACTCACCAGGTTGAGGCCAAGATGGGAGTTTGAAAGAAATGGGACTAAAACACACCAAAATACAATGTCTGTAAAGATGACAGCCCCTCCACAAATCTGTCACCAAAACAATATATGTATATATATATATATATATAATTTGCATCATAATATATATATATATATGTATATATAGATATATATATAGTGTTATAAAAGCTGAAGGGTTAGTGTTACAACCTGATATGTAATTTGCATAAGGTATCCCCAAAAGCCTGCTCTTTGCCGTAGCTCATCCTGGGCATACTTGGTGTCTCGTTTGACTTCTTTTACTCCGTAAGAATTAGTCAAGACTTGTTCAACGTCTCCTCTGAGCAAATCTTCGTTTTCCCCATGATCTGTATCTTTCTTCGACCACACCCAGCACCCATATGCAGATATAACACTTCCTACCTACACCCGCAAACAAACAGATATTAACAATGCACCATGTTGGACTGGTAATTTCAAAGAGAAGCATTATGTATATATGTATATATATGTATAATACTCACCGCAAAATAAACAATAACCAATGTAAATGTCCACCTGCAAGTCAATCATACAACAAACAAGATTTGAATCAGAAATTATCCAAACTTTCTGAATTCTTGGGCGAAAAACTTAAGCCCACCAATTGAATATGATCTTTTGAAAATACTTTTTAAAGGTGCTTACTGTGTGTAGAAATAGAAGGCGAAAATCCCATCCAAGGCTACAACTTTATAGAGTAAACAAAACAAGAAAAAGAAAGCAAAAGCTCTGTAGAAAAAAAGCCAAAGAGGGCCGAGCTTTCTCCACCGGGGTTTCCACAGATCATCACAATACACTACTACCTCCATCTTGATAGCCCAGAAAGCTAGCGCAAGAGGGGCAATGATGATCCACGCACAAATTGGTGTTTGCCATCAAACCCAGTTACTCACACCAGAATCCGTCATCTCATTCACACTCCAACGCAACGGGGATCTGAATTCTCAAATCCCAACTGGGTAGAGGCATTGACGGAATTTAGGAAAGTGAGGAAGGAGAAGGAAAATGGGTTTGGCTTTTGAAGCCCAAACCCAATTACATATATCAGACCCACTTCTCAGAAGAGTATAATTATTTATTTTTATACATGCCAAAAAAACATAAACTGCACGAGTAGGAAGAATCATAAGCTAGTATTTGCTTACTCGGTGTAATAAACGAAGATGGTTTTGTCCCATTTGAGTATATCCCAGTAGAGGAATAAAAGCATTAGTGTAAAGGACAGAAGCCGAATGAGGAGGAGCCAGCCAGGGTGCAACCCTTTCCAGCAACTGCTCCAGAGCTGGGAGACGTGAAGGGTTTGGTTCATGGCGAGTTCATTCCTCCAAACCACCCATAAGGATCCAATAAACGCTCCCATCACAATCCCAAAGCAAATGAAATCGTACCAGTACACCACCATGGCCATCCTCAGTGCAAGAAACTAGCTACTATATTTTTCTTAATTCCTCCATATACTCTCCCAGCTAATAATTACTCTGCGTCAAAGGAAATATAGAATTTAGTGTTAGCTAGAATGGTAGTTTTTGACAATTTGGTTTAGGGTCACGTTTGTAATATTGAAAGGTCCAAAAAGTAGTTGATACTCAAGGAATTTGGTGGAGAAATAAAAAAAAAATATTGTTAAAGAAAAATTAAGCATAAAATCCAAATATCTCAGCTAACGATCGGGGTTCAAAATTTTACAATTTTTTTTTAGTTGTTGACAAAGTTATAAGTATATATATGTATATAGTTAGTGATTTAGTGGCAACATGATTAAGTCCTTAGTTTACTGATTTGATGAATGTTTGGTGAATTCCATTTAAAAATTTAAAAAAAAAAAAAAAAAAAAAACCAAATTATTAATAAAAATTGAAAATAACTTTTAAGAATGCATATTAAAATTGGCAAATTAAAAGAATGCATATTAAAATTTAAAATTAAATATATTACATTACATTACATTATATACAATACATATACTAAATTGTATTGATATGTATAATTATTAGTAATTATAATATTTAAACAAATCAATTATTCAATCGATTCAATTCCAAAATTTTGAAACCAAAACTGAACCGATAAAATAAAAAACTTAAATAAAAATAGAATGGCTAAATGAAAGTGATTTATTTAATTGTTCAAAATTTCAATCAAATCTGACTTAAACTCGGAACACTCGCTCCTAGTTGGTTTTTGCTTGTTTTGACATTTGGTGTCCAAGCTTACTTAGTGATAAAGCCACCTGTTTTGGATCAGTGGAGAAGGACAGGACAATCCTCCCCCCGACCACTTTGATACACTAAGAATGGGTACTTCTTTTTCTTTTTCTTTTTCTTTGCCAGGTCTAGTATTTATGTCCACCAAAAATGCAGCGTTTCATCAAAGTTGTTTGTGTTTTGTTCCTCTGCTACGATTACACGTGAACTCGTCTAGATGGGTGTAAAATCATCGCTTCTGAAGTGGTCGATCATTCTGAAAATTCATCTTTGAAATCCTAATAAGGTTTCTGGTGTTACAGCTTCTGTTCTTTGCTTTCTTTACTGATTCAAGGTACTTTCCAACTTCCTTTCTTCCTATTTGTGATAAATCTTGATTAAATAGGAAGTTTACTTGGTGAGTTTATATTTTGTTTCATGGTATCAGAGCAAACTTAGATATGGAGAGCGAAAATTCAAATTAAACTACTGCAAATCGAAACCCTAACCCATTTAATAGAACAAACTTAGATTTTATGAATTCTGATAGACCGTACTACATAGAAAAGAATCTGAACTCTAGCACTATTCTTGTTCCTCAACCCTTAGAAGGAAATAATTACTACACATGGGCTCGCTCTATGAAACGAGCATTAAGGATTCAAAACAAGCTCGGGTTTATAAATAGAACCTTTACCGAGCCAATGGATCCCACTTATCCGCTCAAAGAACAGTGGTTACGGTGCAATGACATTGTAATCACTTGGATACAGAACATCTTATCCCTAGAGATCAAGGCTAACACATTTTATGTTGACACTGCTCATTAGCTATGGCTTGATCTTGAACAGAGGCATGCTCAACAGAATGCGTCTAGGATATTTGAAATCAAGCAATCAGTAGTCAATCTCTTATAGAGTCAAGACCCAGTTACCGTTTATTTGCTAAGTTAAAAATTTAATTGATGAATTGGTGAACTATAAACTAATGCCCAACTGCACTTGTGGGGAAATGAAGACTGGTGGAATATCAGGATAAAGACTATATAATGAAATTCCTCATGGGTTTAGATGATTCGTATAAAGGAATGATAGGACAGATCCTCATGAAGAGACTCTTTCTTGGCATGAATGAGGTCTTTTCTATTATTCATCAAGAAAAAAAAGAAGACAAATATCTCTGGATTTTACAGCCAACAGGGCCATGGCTTTTAGCATTAAGGAGAATGACAAACCTGTTAAGCCCACAATTTTTAATA